AACACGTGCTGCCTTTGGGGGGTCAACCAGAACGAGTCAGGGAAAAGGATCCCTTTCCCCATCCACCCAAGGGAGGTCAGACCGGAGCGTGTCCTTCTTGTAGACAGGCTTGCCATGGTTTGAGCCTGACACGGAGTAGGACCCCTTGATGATCTTGGAGACAGTTGCCTCGGCTTGCCGTCTCTTTTCGGGCCAAAATCGGGGTGTGTGAATTTGAGGTATGCAGGTTGGCCCTTAGAATAACTTAACGGAGGGGGGGATACAGCTTCAAGATGACATGAACAGAAAGAGTCTGTGGATAAGCCCAGGTATCCCCAATAGCACGGGACCCCCTGGAATCGAATCAATCACCGACTCAGCTGGGATTTTAGAAAATGCCCGTATATCTGGGGGGCATTCAAACGCTTGACTCCCCCCCGCAAGGACACAACATCTCGGTTGCTTTCTGCTCCCCTGCTCAAAGTCTTTAACTGTTAGTGGTTTAATGGGAAAACCCATTAGCTTTGTTCCATCTGTTGAAGTCCTAACATCCAAGCAACGTGCACCAAACAAAGTCTTCACGGCCGGGCGGCATTATTGCAGCCCGTCACCACAATGTTCCCACTGGCCGCAGCAGAATTCGCCGGTGTGGGAGGCGGAGGCGGCTGCGGTCTGCCCTTGGCAATCGGAAGCAACTGAAATCCATCAACGTAACTCGCAAAGGGGTCCACAGAAAAGTCATGGTATGTCTAACTACCCCCTAGCTGACTACCCCCCCCCCTGGAATTCGGAATAGCCGGTCTGGATGAGCCCTTATTTTTGGGTCTCGTTGACCACCTGTTTGAGTTTGCTTGTTTCTGTAAACATTGTCAAAGAAGTGCCTCAGTCAGTTGTTCCGAAATCTCCGTACGACTAAAACTATATATCACTGGCGTCCCGAGTAATTGGGGGGGGGGGGGGGGGGCAAACGCCCTTCATCAAGGGGCGTGTTTTCACCCCGAAGTGAGCTCGACCTAAAATACACAGATTTGAGTGTGTCTGACTGTATTTGAGCGGAGGTCCCTTCAAAAGCAACCTTAATCTTCCAGGTACCCCACAGCTGCCTGCTTGTGGAGGAAGGGCATAGGGAAATTGGGGCCATGGAGACCTGCGTTTGATTCACCTCCGAAGGCTACCTCTTGGTCGTTTTTTAAAGTCCGATGCTTCCGAATGGACATGGGTCAACATCCAAATCGGTTAGCCCCCAGTGAACATCCCAAACCAACCACTAAAATTGGTTCCAAAATGGGTGAATTCACCTACCAACCAAATTGGGATCCCAAAACGGTTTTGACAACCACAGCCACATAAGGGTCATTGCTCCCTGGAGATCAAGGGAAACGTGTCGGTGTAGTTCAGCTGTCGTGCCCAGAGGTTGGTTTATCTCCCACATCAAACAAGGTTGGTTTTGACCACCACAGCCAAATCCAGCGAAGCCGGACTGGCCGCCTGGGCGGCGGCTTGGCTCACCAGTCTCTGCACGCTCTGCACACAACCTGCCGGCGAGTCCCGAGTCGCGAGAGCCAGCGAGCCAGCGCCCGGGCGGGAATTGGTTCGATTGGTTTCCCCGAGAGGTTTAATTTTTTGTTGGGGTATCCAGAACCCCCAGTGAACGAAGGAACCCGTAGCAACCCCAAAGGAACCCAACGGAACCCGAAGGACCTCGAAGGAAATGAAACCAGGGTCTTTTCAGCAGAACTGGTGTGCTTGGATTTAAACTAAAGGATAGAAATAGGTGTCGTTTAGTTTTTGGATGCCGCGCTTGGGCCGCTTTGAAACTGGAAGAAACATCATTTACGGATCTCCTATTCTCAGACACACACTTATACCACCACTCTACAAGCAGAGATGGATGTTGGCCAAACATTGACCCCTGCGTCTTTTGGGAAAGCTCTGGAATTGAAGTCCTCCTTCTCATGAAGGGAAGCACCGACGAACTCATTCTTGAGATGAGGACACCCGACCGACAAACCAAGATACTACGTTTTCATTTGATAACTCACCCCACATGTCGAAGCCATGGTGGGCATGGACATGTAACCGGAACAAAGCGTCAGTCTGCCAGCCCATTGACCCAGCTTGACAAGGGACCCCGTGGCCTCTTGGGTGTGTCTTTTCTAGGGGTCCTCTATAACCAGCACAACAAGGTTGTACCCTCGAACTCTTTTTCTAGAGGACTCCCCCAAGATGGTGGTCCTTTAACACGACCAAAACATACCAAAACAAGGGTAGCCTCGAAAAAAAGACGAGCCACCCAAAAAAGGAACCCCGTGGCGAATCCCCGTCTCGTCTCACCGATACTTACCGATGCACGCAATGACGCGCCTCCCTTGCCGCTGGCCTTCCCGGCGCCCTGCGATCCGGGAATCGAAGGGTGGGACTGGTCTCACAGCTCACGTGGTGGAACCCCCACTTCCATTTGGTTAAGGCCCCAGGAAAAAAACAAAATATGTCCAGTAGTGATGATTTCCTTTTAAATAAACCCAACAAGGGAAAATATAAACATATTCTTTAGCAAATGGAGGCCCATGTGGGTCTATCTTCTTTGAGGGGTTTTAAAGGACAACAACGAAAAAACCACCAATTTGAAAGCATAGAAGCAAGGGGCACCCTTCTTGTTGGTCGATACTTTGTTGGGAACCTGGCCCTCCAAAAACACGGAATTGCCACTTGTTTGGGGCAGTAAGAAGGCCCAACGACCAACCTGTTGGCTTCAATCCAAAGCCTTTGGCGGATCAAACCAAAATTCGAACTTATGTAATTCCCAATGAATCAATCAACCTGACAAATTCATCAGGGTGTTTCCCCAAAACGCGAAGGATGCCCCAAAAGGGGCAGGATATTCATCCTGGCTTGCATGGCAAACATTGTCCCTTGCAGCCCCTAGGGGGACATCCTGACTTGCCCTTTTCAAGCAACTGAGCCTTCCCACACATTGCCCAGTCTTTCCATCTTAAAGGTCGCTGCCTGGTTCCGAAAAGGCTTTTTACGATGAAGACTGCCTGCATTGGCGGACGTTGCTGCGCTGGCGGCGGCCGCATTTGCGCTTGCGGCGGCCGCATCTGCTGTTGCATCTGCCAAGCCATGATGATGGCCTGAGCAAAGCCGCTTTCTTCACGTGGGAAACTCTGAGTCAAGCCAGCTTGTACTGCAAAACAATGTTTTATCTTTCTTCAAGGCAAGCTGATGTTCTGCACATCACGGTAGATTTCTGCCGCATTTTGGCATGCTGGCAAACCAGAGGCTGCACACTGGAACCCGGGCGCAAGCCCATGCGGAGGCAAAGGGAGTGTTGGCTTGTGCTCTGGCTCCAAAATTCGGGTTGCTGTGTGTGTGAATTTCAATCGGGGACCCAAACTGGTGGATATCATTTAGGTGGGGATTCATCTCCACCACTTTTCAGGTGGCTCCAACTCGAACAAACATGGCCATCCAGGTTGCTGTGAAGCGGGCCGTGTGTTTATGCACTTAAGGCGCGGATAGGGCTGACCAAATACATAGAATCAACCATCTGGCCCAACAACAACACCTTGTTTTTACGGGACCCCCCAAAATGGCATCGGTGTTCCTTTTGGTTTCCCTTTGAAGCCGTGAACAAAAAGTGTACCCTCGAAAGAAAGACAGCCCCACATGCACACAAAATCACAGATCGTCGTTGGAGTGCCTATCTCTGACTCGGGCCGGTGAGATGTTTTTGCTGCGTGTCGCCCGTGAAAAAAATGAGCCGCAGAAGGCTCCGAAAGCGAGGCAAAGGCCAGTCACCGGTGGATCCAGAGGCCCCCCGCCTAGGGGACGAATGTTCCCCCGATTTGTTGAAGGGCTGTCCCTTAGCTCAGCTGCCCAGTGGATTTCCATGGAAAAAAAGGTAATCCTTCTTTGGTGGGTTGAGTTTAAAGGGGAACCCTTCGAAAAAGGCAGGAATCACGGGAGCCACTGGGCAACTGGGTGAATGGGATTCTTGCATCTTGGGACGACATGAGGGATGTCCCTTCTCAATAGATGCCTTTGTTTTTGCTGGGAAGTGACACCATATATATATATATATATATCCTTTTCCGCCACGGCCAATCTAGGGTCGACATGAGCATGCAACGGGTAGAACATGTTTAAGTCAAAGAGAAGAGCCATCCCGCAGTACCACCCTCACTCTCCAACCTACATACTGCAAGGGACAAGTTCGAAGCTTCAGCTTTGTCATAACCACAACGGAGATTCAAATTTTCAAGGACATGTCCCTCCAGAAGTGAGTTGTTCATAACCATCCCGTAGCTTTGTCAGTTACGGTTATATACCACTGGAGAAGTATATACTGCCCTACAAGCCTATTGGTGGTATATAAGCCTCCATCAAAAACGGTGTTGCCAACCCCAAGCCGATGTTGCCATTGTTCCATTGGTTGAAAGGTAAAGCGGCCGACCTCAATAGCCTGTAAAGAAGGTGTTAAATAATAATAGTGAAGTAGAACTTGCGACTTGTGGGCAGCACGACCCCTCTTTGAATTGAACCAAATACAAAACCCGCCCGAACTGTCATTGTCATTCTACCAAGTTCCAACTCCATTGCTGTAATTGAAGCAAACCATGGCAGGCGCCCTTTCTTTCCCAGATGGGTACGCGATCGGCCCACCAGGGATCGTTAACATCCAGCGCGGCGGTCAGTGCTCCGTCGAGGCACACCTCGACTCCTAAAGGCAACCAACCTATGGTGGCTTGATAGAAACATACAGAAACTCTGGGGGCGCTTAATCAACACATGTAGGATTTCAGGGTTGCAACTTCGAAGTAACATTGCCAATCCATAACACCCAACACCAAAAGGAGGCTCACTCTGAATTGGCAACCCAAATCGACGCGAAAGAGGTATATGCACACATATGCGCAGGTCAAAATGAAAGGCCAAAAGCTGCTAAGATTGGGATCTGGAACTGTTCCAACAACATCTCAGTGATAGAAAGGGCATCACCCCTAGAGTGGGTTCCGCAGCTAGTCTCGGCTCAGAAGCTTCTCCTTGCACGTGCTGCACCTGAACCGCGGCTCCGTGGTGAGATTGTTTACCGAAAGTACTGAAAGAACCACCCAGACCAACACCATGAGTAGAGTCAGGCCCAGTTGTAGAATGTATATGTTATATTTTGTTTCACTTTGAATCACTGGTAAAATGTAAAATGTATCCGGATACTTACATAAATGCAAAAACACATGACAAATTATGTCGGTAACCTCGCATCCATGACACTTTGTCCGAGCACAGCATGTTGCAGCCTGGTCTTAAACATGTTCACAGTCTGACTTTCTCAGCGACAGCGAGACCACATCAAGCGCGCAAACCCAAGGAGGGGAAACCTCCGCAAAGTCCAGGAAGCCGCTCAGTCTATTGGTTCCCAGAGCGGTTCAGATGAGCTCGGGACGTGCCGGCGGGCTCGGACAGAAGCTTCCTGAGCCGGGCATGGTTTCAGTCTGCAACATGGCTGTGGTTGTCAAAACGGCTTTGGGATCCCATTTTGGTTGGTAGGTGAATCCACCACCCATTTTAGGCTAATTATTTCAGTGGGGATTGGGATGTTCGCTGGGGGTACGGGATTTTGACCCACGGCCACATCGTTAGTGAACTCGGGCAACAATCAAGCAAGAGAGATCCGAGTTCTGTGTCAATCTGCAGGGGTGAATGTAGCTGTCAAAGTACCCTTTTTGTGCTTGTAAAGGGAAGCCCAGACGAAGCTACATACTCATAATTGGGTGACCACGCTCGATCATAGGGTTCCGCTGGTTCGATATCTTTTCCGTGCTGCAGATGCAGGTTTGGGCGACCGCCCAAAACCGGTTGGCTTCCTTCGAGCGTCCATTTAAAACCACCCCGGAAAGGGTACCACCAAAAAAAGACGCTCCTCATTTACTGCACAGAATTGGACTACTGGTTTTGGTCACTAGTCCTCCTTACTCACTTGTGCGCTTCTCAGTGGATAGACCCTTTTCTCGGAAGGCCATCTCCCAATCATTAGTCCCTATGGGTTTCCCTGTGAACTCCCTCTTCATCACCCTTTTCAAGTTACACCCATTTTCACCAATAGATTCAATTTCTCTTCTGGCATCCTGCCTGCTTCCTTTTTCCGCACACCGCTGGGCGATTTTCCGCATCACATATGCCCGGCTGGATCGGTTTTCGATCCGCTCCGCCTAAACCGAAAGAAACCCGCACCGCGAAAAGCGGCAACCACCAATTGAAAGCTAAATGGACACACTGAATGGCAAGGCTAAACGGTAACTGGAAGCCTCGCGGATAGTATCTGGAAACTAACAAACTAACAAATGGCTACATGAACTCGCCCAGACTTGGAATCCGCTGGCGAATCCGCCGGCGAATCCGCCGGCGAATCCGGCGAATCTAGGCGGCCTTGGCGGTGAGGTTCCTCCAGGGCCGAGTCATCATCAAAGCTGGCGAATACTCTCAGGGCCCAAACAAGTAGAATGGGGTTGTGGGGTTCCATTAAAAGTCCTCATGGGAGAATCATGTTCCGACCATTCCTGAAAACTGAAGAGGGTGTTGTGGGGTGAACACTGGCTGCCCCCATTCCTCTTGAGGTATATCCCCAACTGAGTCATAATCAATAAATGGTGACAAAGGAGTCTGCTCAACAGCATGTGAAGAACCAAACATTCTCAGAAACCTCCAATCAGGTTCCCGTTGGAAGGGTACATCGTTCTGGTGTCCCACTGACCCCAGCCATCTCCTTGTAATCCGAGGTTCTCAGTTCAAGTCACAGAGGTGGACCCAGATCTGAGTGAGCCATGCTGCCAAAGAAAGGGACCTGTGACATGTCCTTCAAAATCAGAAGTTTGCCCCCGCAGAAAGACAATGCTCACACTGCTGCAGTGCGTTCCACGAGGTCCATCTTTAGGGCAACCAGGTAATTAACCCGGACAAGGCCAACCGCATGCGGGAATGCTTCGAGCCAATGTTCAACAAGCGGAACAAAAATCTACCCGGGAACACACATTTTCAAGCAAAAGCGACACGTGATTGGAGTTGTGCCCTGTTGCATGTTGCAGTGGTTGCTTCAGCTTTCGCTAATTGCCGGTGCTCAACATCTATCAACTCACTCTGCACTGGAAAAACAACACCAAGTTTCCCGCGTCTTTTCAACCCTCCCCCGCCCTGTGTGGCAATGGGCATGTGTTTTGTTTGGGAAATGGTTTTAAAAGGACCATTTGCTAAACTCCAAAAATGAAGGACAAGTAACCCCGTGTTCAGATTGAATTGTTGAGTGTGACCAAAATACCTGTTACACCCAAACAGTAAACGCCTAAAAACACAATTGCCATTTAGGGGTGAATCGAAAAGGGAGGGCAGAATCCACACCGGGTCATGTGTCCTGCCTCGAGGTAAACCACTGCGGCCCGTAGGAGATGAACAGCTCCTCGTCCTTTCGCACCTGCCTCCGGAGGTCTGATCAACAAGTATCGGAAAGAATCCAACTGGACGGTTCTTTTCAAAACAAGGAGACCCGAATCGTACCCTCAAAACACAGACGCACGCACACACGCATGGATAAGTGTCAACATTGGTGGGGAACCCAAATATGATTGGCCTCCTGGTTCCCCTTAAAACCTAGCTAAAAGCGGATCCTTTTCAAAACAGCACGCCCATGTGCAAACAACCTTTGGGCTTCCCGTTAGCGAGCCTATACCTTTGTTTGAATCATGTCCCGCCCTAACAAATGCAGCTTCACAGGCAACCAGTGCACTCGCCATGCGCTCCCTCAACTGTCAAGCTTGGGCCAAACAGTGAATACATGAACCAAGGCTCACTTGGGGTTGAGGGTACGACCTCAGGGTAGCAAATCTCTGTGACGACGGGGTAACAGCCAGAAGGTAAGCCCCGGCATGAAGACATGGAGTGAAAGTGGTGATCGCACCCGCAAACCTAACTTCCAGACACTTTGTGTTGGGCCTCCTAGTGTCCATGGAAAAAACAAGGGGGCGTGGCGTAAACATGAACATGGCGTCACACAAGGTGAAATGCGCTACCCAACAACTATTCCCAAATGTATAGCCCCAAGACCCCTCCGCGTGTGTAACAATGCGTTTCGACCTTTTGAGGCACAGCATAGCAACAGAAGTCGTTGATGGGGGGTGACTGTATTTGTTTTGCTTGCCCGTTACTCATATTAGACATATAAATATGTGTCGCCATGAATTTACATGAGGCGCCCCCTGGAAAGTGGTTGGCGGACATAAACCCTACCAAAATGATGTCTACGAGAGGGTCCCACATTAAAATTCATGCTCATTTTTAAACAATGTAAGTGTATTTATATATATATATATGTATCCCAGAGGCTCCCAAGGAGGTGTTTGGGCTCTCGGACCCTCGCGGGCCATTGCCAGGGAGAGGAAGGAAGACCCCGCCTGCCTTTTTGCACAGGCGGCACGCCTATGAAGCGGCCCGCCTATGAGCCCGCGGAAACGCGCCAGATGGGTCGTGAAAGTAACGCCTTCGCAACACAACTGCCCGCGCTGCGCGTTTCTTTCCCAAAGAACGCCTGGGCACAAGCGTTCCAAGCCCTACCATCTCAATCTCAAGGCCGTAAAATGCATGCCCCTTTGGTCTAAAAACATGTTGCAGTAGGCGCCCAGTAACTTAAAGGTGACGTGCTTAAGCAGCCGCTCAAGATTGCGAATGGGCAAAGCTCTCAACTGTTGAGCTACATGGTCCGAAACTGCAAAGCCAGTTATCAGAAATTCAAAGTTCTGCGGCAGCCTCTGGAGATGATTCGCCCAGCTGCGCCCACAAAGCTCTCTGTCATGACCAAGCCAGCGCAATCCATCAGCTGGAGCTTGAGCATAGCTGAACAAGCAAACGCGCGAGCTCGCCGTCCTTCTGTCGCTGTTGAAAATCCATACGCTTGGCGCCGTGGGCCAGCCCAAAGCTGAGCATCGCAGCTTTCAAATTGAGGCAAGGGCGCGACGCGCGCTTTTGCGCCAAAGCCTTGCCGGAGTGAAACGCGCATGGGGGAGAAACCTGCACGTGACAGCAGTCACTGCCTCCGAGAAACAAACTTAAAACCAGGGCGAACAATGAAAAGCAAACTTACTGGGTGCGGGTTATTGTCAGCGGGAAGCTGACTTGAGAACCAAGGGCAAACAGCGAAGAATCTTACATGATGCAGGCCGGGGCTCCTCAGCCAGCGTGCTGATTGGAATTCTTAACCACATGTCTGGCTTCCCCCTGAACCCATTTTGTGATCCAAGTTAGTTTGTATCGCGGGCTACGGGTTAAATTTCATCGGCTCCCAAAACGGCACCCTAAAAGCCCAAACGTTAGCTTCTTGCTGTTCCAAGTCAGTTTGTAGAGGACTTGGTTAAGCCAACTCAAGTGCAGGCAAGCAACCCCTGGTTTGACCGGCTCCGCGTTTTGTCCGCGACGCGTGTGTTCAACGCTGCATGGCTGACGCCGGCAGGCGATGGGCTTTAAATGGCTTGTGATTGGTTTGGCAAACGTTCAAGGTCCAAGGGTTGCATCAAGCAAAATGGAAATCAAAAGAGCACCTTTGCCTTCTTGGTGTTGCGCAGTAATTTGCTTCGGCATGCTATAGCTGCGATGTAGTAGTCTCACGGATCCAGAGAAAAGCTCGTGAAGCAGGGTGGGAAGAATTCGATCCCGCGCTTGGAGAATGTGTGATTGCTCTAAGTCTAGATGTTTCGTGCGAGCTTGGCAAAAACTTGACCACCCGGGCCCTCGTTTTGAGGCCTCCGGGCCAGAAACAGGAAAATTGGCCGGACGCGCATCAGAGACCCCCGAGACGCGCATCAGAGGCCCCAGGAGCCATTGGGGTATATATATATATACAGTGTATATATATATATATATGTATGCATATGTGTAGACACATATATATATATATATGCATGTATATACATATATATTGTTATGTATATATATATGTATGTATATAATATATATGTATACATATACTTATTCACACCAAACCGCTTGGGGCACGGAACAGGTTTCACCGGCCTTTCGAGCGGCTCACGCTCGATGCGTTTGGCGCCTCAGAGTCCAGAAGCGGCCCACGAGGCGGCGGCCGTGCTCTCGGCGTTGCTCCCAGGCGAAGTCCGTGTTGGGATCCTCCGTCTCATTCTGGGGACCCCCAAAACAGGCAGGACAGCTTACAGGAAATCCTTTAAGTTTTTGTGTGCCAGTTTCTTGAAAAATGTCCCCAAAAAAAGAAGCGGTATCAATGGTTTCCATGCGTTTTCAAACACCAACACGAATGTTTCAACATGCAGCTTGATGAGAAGAGTCTTGAAACTGAGCTTGCTTTTTTAGACTGAGTGGTTGGATTTCTGCTTCACCTTGGGGTTAGACAATCAAACAAAACAAAATGATAAAGCAAACAAAACAATGACGCGTGGCCAGCACGTTCCGCCATCA